GTGCAAGTCTATACATAAACGATGGAGGATGACGAAGGAATAGGTAGAATCGATTTATGTTCTTCATTTTCAATATGAATAATCCCGTAACCCTTGTTTCTGTAATATGGAATGGTACAGGAAGAAGGAGCGGTAGGTTAAAGGCGAAATCGATGTTTAAGTTCTCAAATAAAGAAAGCCAACCCATTGACCTAGACGACCATGTTGAAGACGATGTTGATATTATAGCTATCGAAGAAACAGGTATCATCTTATTACATTCCCTAACACGATTTTAGGTTTAAAACATCAGTTTTAGGTTTTAGTGTTGGTGGTTGTTTATTTTAAACACTATTGAATGATGAATATTATGTTTTTTTAGAGAAGAATTTACCACATTTTGATAATCAATTTGTGTTACATTGTGGTACATTTAGTGTTGATCATAATCTTTTGGAAAATGGTGTGATACATTGTGATAACATTTTGTATTTGTCATAATATTTTGTCTGGACAGAAAATGGTGTGCTAAATTGTGTTCAGGTTCTTAATTTCTTGCAATACATGGCTTTGTATTCATGATCAAGTTAAAACTTTTGTAGTTTATGGACAATTTGGTTGAGAGTTGGATTGTATGATAGTAACCTGTGAAGTAATTTTTTCAACAGTGATTGAAATGTTTGTTGTACCATTTGGTGTTCTACATTGAGTTTCTTCTCAGTTAGCTTCTTCTAATTTCCTTTTGCTCCAAAAAAGAATGAAACTCAGTTTGACTTCAGAATTTGGGGTACGAATAATGAATTCTATCTCAATTCACCAATGAAAAAGTTTTGGTACTGAATCTGCAAGGAAATCTGTATGACTTTCAAAATCTGGAAGTCATAGGTTCAGTTCTCTTTGGAATTGGGGGAGTTTGCATCAGGGATTACAGAGTGTTGGTGTTAACTGGGACTTGGAATGGTAGTGATTGCTACAACCTTGATTTGCGAATGTGTTAAACTGTGAGCAATAAGTTAGCTTGATCAAATTTGAAGGCAACTCCATGGTAAAATGCTAATAATAGGATCATGATTCTTGTAGTTTTAGCTCACCAAAGGCTTACGTAGAATGCATAGTTAATTTCAGACATTGTATTCGTAGCTGATGAGCCACTAGCCGGATTTGTATTCAAACTATTACGCTGGCAAGCACTTTGTTATCTCATTATATTTTAGCCAGCAATATGTTGCTATAACATCTATTTTAGTTTTATAACAAACTTATTGTTTATGATGATTCAGTGGGTTGAAATGGTAATTTTCTAATAGTTGGATTATTCATTCAATATATTTACCAAATAATCAATTTTCACTAACTACTAATTCAATGCACAACCTACAAATAATTCAGACCACTTATTGATTCAATATTTTTTTAATTGCCTATTCAGGTTTATTGAACAGACTCTCAGATCTCAAGAGTCAACCAAGCAGTTAAACACATAGCACATCGTTGATCATGGTGGTTCCTTCGTTGCACAAGCACAAACCACATCAGTCGAGTCGTGGGTGGTTGGTTATTGCATGGAGTAGTGCAGTCGGTCAGCTCTTCATGCAGGTAAGTTAAGCAAAGATTGACTAGAGAGGAGAGAGTAGAAATGTTGTAATATTTATTTTTATATTTTGTTTTTCTTTTTTAGTGTTTTTCCTTATATTCAACTTAATTAGATACAGCAATCTACTACTACTACTACTAGGCAAGTGTATGATTTATTAGCTGGTCCCCCACAACTTGTTCACCCTTTAAGTTAGCCATGTGTATAAATTTATGTGGGTAGGGTTCAAGTCAATCAAGATAAACAATCCATTTTCTCTTTCTTTCTCAAACAAAGAAATTCAATATCAATTATCAAGAAATCTTGAATTTTTTCCTCTAATTTGACATTTTGAAATCTGGTTTCTGTGCTTAACTCCACAAATCATGCTTAAATTGCCGATCTTTTTATTTAATTTTCTCAGGAGTTTAATTATACCGTGGTCGAGATGGTTGACATCTGCCTCCACATACGTGCCTTCTTAGACCGATTTTCAGAACAAGCACTTTCACTTGTTGCATATAATAGAGAGAAAGACCCTTTCTATACATGATTTTCCAACTTCCTTGTTTTTGGTTATGCAAAATCTCAACATATCCAGAAGAAGATACATAATATTTTTCTTAGTGCAGAATATTTCATTGTGTCTTAGTTGACTTGATATTTTTATCATGAAAATTTATGCTAAAATTGGTTGACTTGATAAAAGAATGATTAGTCATGAAAACTATGAGAGAAATACACACATACACCTACGTTTATGTAAGTAAATATTGGATGTTTTTAAGCAATGTGAGTTTCTACTGCAAAGAAAATAATGATTTTAACCAAGATGGTGCATCATATGCTGGGGACCCTGTTGGAGGAGTTGATATTTATTTGACAGACCCAGCTCCACGAAACAAAAATTTAAAGAAGTCTTGGAGATCACAATACCCTGTTTGCATAGATACATACCCATTCCTAGATATGTTTTTTAATGTGGTACTTGCAACAGGTATTGATTTAGCTACCACACGAAACCACAATCTTTGGGAAATGAGAATGTACCTATGCAAACAACACAGTAATAAGTACCACATGATACCACAACAGTTGGACATGTTATGATACATTATGGTTTGCATTCTACTAATTACATACTGATGTATTATTTCCCAACACAGTA